GTTGTAGCACAAGATAATTAGTGTGCAGGCCATTTTAATTTTTATTTAGTGCTCTGTGAACACAAATTAGTTAGCATAAATCAGTTAAATGACGAAAAGTTAGGTGTTTATTTACTTGTGACCACTCAGTGTATATACTTTTAACAAGAACATACATGAGAATGTTGTGAGGGTAAAGTGAGTTCACTAAAAAAATAAGCATACTGCACTTAGTACGCCCTGTTTTTCTTCATTTAAACTCTCTTATACTTGAGCGTATGTGCATCTTAGTTGTCTATATTTAAACTCTTCTCCATTATAATGGACATGTTGTTTGTTTACATCCAAACTGTCAATAGGAAAGTTTAGTTTACGTAAATGTTTTTATCTATATCCAGTCTTTTCTACACTTTTATTGTATGTATGTGTTATTTATATACACCCTAGCAGTCCTTAGGAAATTTTGATGTATGCACATGTTGCTTATTTACATTCAAACTGTCCTATATTTTGGTGTATGTCCAGGTTTTATCTATATTCAAATTATCCTTCATTTTAGACTATGTACATGTTGTTTATCTACATCCAAACTATCGTACATTTTAGTAGATGTTATTTAGCTCTATCCAAACTCTTCTTGCCTGAAGCTTTCATAGTTAAGGCTATAACTTTCCCCAGTTTATTTGTTTTTTTATATTTATGACATAATGTTTCATATAAACCATTCTATTAAGAAGTGGTATTTAGATTTTCATAAATATGCAGTTTGAATGTTTGTAATAATAAATAAACAAAAGTACAATTTTTTTTTATTCACGATTCTAAGGTATCAATAGAAATGTTCATAAATGCTCTAATGTGGTTGGATTTCTCTTACATTTTTAATTTTTATCAAAATTACTTTTGAGTTTTTAATGATAGTCAGCTCTGAGACCATATTGAAACAAGTATTGTATTTAGGATGAAATGATTTTGGCATTCTACTATGGGGGAAGCATTGGTGGGCATTTCATCTCATGTGAAATTTCACTTTTATATTTTAAAATAGCTGTTGTGTTAGTCTTGTGTTATGTAATGTTTCAAGTATTTAAATAAAACTAAGTAGTTTTGTTTTCAAAAATTTAGGGCACATATCTTAAAATTTTTATAGCATTTCTTGTGGGTGTGATTGGTGAGAAAATATCTTGTTTTATTATTTTACTCTAGATGGTCATAATGCTATACAAATTGTTTTAACAACAGATCCTTGAAGTAAACAGAAATGTCAGTTGCACTTTTCACTTACTTCTAATTAAGGTTAATAAGATCGAGATTTTGCTTCAACATTAGATTCATAGGAAGATGTTCTTCAATTATTAAGGAAGTTAGATTTATTGTAGATTTTCTTATTTTGCTTCCTTTAGCACATTATCTTAAGGTACTGAATTTTGTATTTTGTATAATATGCACACAGAAAAGGATTGGATTGGAAATATTAAAAAATACCAGTACCAAGTAATTGTGTTAGAATTGGCTGATTGTACAAGTATTTGTTCCGATATGATATCTTACCTCCTCTAAGAAAATAGCTTTTCTCGACTAGCACGATCGGCACAAATTTTCAACACACGCCACTAGCCTTCCACCTCCCACTTCTGCATATTTACATGTAAGTGATCATGCAGCAGCTCCACACCAATAGGAGTGCAACACCACTCCTATTGTAACCAGCACCCTCTTCACATCTGCACTCATTAATCACTTCTCAATTGGCAGTAGTACTGTACAGACAAGCTGATTTTTGCTTGCAGATTTGTTGACATTTTCCATTATACTACTGACTTAGTTATTCTTTACTTTTTATTTAAATTTTTGCATTTTGGTATTGTGAAAAGTTGTTTTTTTTTTCTTTTAAACTTTTTCTTACGTTTTCAGGAGCCTTTCACTATTGTATTGTGGATCCCACTCTATGGCAAGTGGTGCCTGACTAGGTATACTTTTTATTTTTGAAAATCTGCACTGTCTATCCTGCAACCATACTTGATGTTAAATATGTTGTATCCCCTCCTACTGATGTACAATTCCAGATGCCACCAGGTATTGGTTGTGTGTCTCCATTTTATTGTTATATAGGATAAATTATGTTTCAGGTTTGTGTTATGCACACCATAGAGATGGGGTGTTCCATGGACTGCTATAATTGCAGTTTGCCCCTCAGGCTGAGATGTCCCCCCTACCATCCTCTGGATGTACATTTCTGGTGTTGATTGGAGATGGTGCAGCTAAGTAAGTCCTGTGTGCTGGCCGGTATCCCTCCTCCTACTGCATACTTAATGACAAATGCCCACTGCTGCCAGGTTTTGGACTGGAGATGCTCAACAGGTTTGCGGTCCTTCTTCCTACCATCTGCTGGATGTCAGTTCTGGGAAGATCTGGTGTTGGTTGTAGTTGAATGCAGCACGTCTTCCTTCTTCCATTGCCTTCAGGTTTTGAACCAGAGATGCCATCCCACTAGGGCTTTCCACCTTCCTACAATCTGCTTGATGTCGGTTCCCAGCAGATCTGGTGTTGGAAATGTGCACAAGTGGTAATGGATTTTGTACAGAAGTTCCTCTTCCATAACAATTCCTGTTTTGAGGTGAAGAGGTAAGTGATCCCCTACCTACTGTGGATCTGATGTACCATTCCAGATACTGCCTGGTGTTGGATGAGGTCAAACTACCACTACGGTCTGTCTCACCCTAGCCACTTGACACGTTGGAGTCCAATTCATTGGTCATTCATATTCTGAGACTCCTTCATGTTTTTCCACCTTTTATGTTCATGATACTGTCATAAAAGAGCTTAGAGTGTACCTGGATTAGGTGTGGTGCCATCTCCCGCTAAGATGTGAAATTTTTTCTTTTGGTTCCACACCTCCTGGTGGTCCCTCTTTAGGCACTTCTTAAAGGGGGATCATTTTTTTTATCGGTCCTTCACCAGTTCAATGTGGGATTCTATCTATTTTGGGAGCAAAGGTAAGATACCATATCAAAAGTGAGCATTTTCATACACTGAAAATGCATTTCTGATAGATACATACCTCCTCTCACTTTTCCTACCTAGCCTCCCCACTTCTAATGATATATGGTGTAGGTATTCTGACCAATCTCAAAGTGATTAACGAGTGCAGAGGTGAAGAGGGTGCTGGTTATGATAGGCGTGGTGTTGTGCGCCTTTTGATGGAGAGCTGCTGCATGATCATTTACATTTGGATATGCAGCATTGGAAGATTAGTAGCATGTGCATTGAAAATTTGTGAAGCTATTTTGTGAGAGGAGGTAAGTATCTATTCGAAATACATTTTCAGTGTAGGAAAATACTAACTTTTATTAATGTTTCTGAAAATAAAGCAAATCTAAACAGTTTTTTTATGAAATTATAATAGTGAGATTATAAAAATTTTACTTAATACAAAGTGTTAAATATTTGAGAAAATAAATTGAGTTTTAATATGGAATTGGATAGTATAAATTAGGGATTTCAAATTCACCTCTCTGTGCATAAATAAAAAAGCTAAAGCATCTTAAAAAGTTCTACCTTCCATAAACACTTGAGTTATTGGTTTTTGTAATTGTATGTAGCTAGTTTTGGATCCTGCATATGTTTCATGTACCATAAATATATATAGATTAAAATATTACTTTATTCAATATGTACAATTATATTAATATATATATATATGTGTGTGTGTGTGTGAGAGAGAGAGAGAAAAAAGTCATAAAGAAAGTAAATCCTGATATATTCCTTTGTAAAGTGTAGTGAATATTAATTTTCATGTTGCAACAGTCAAAAGAAAAAGTATGCCATCATCATTGTAAATGTCGTTGCTTAATGTAAAAGTTTTTGTAAACGACAAATGTTTGGCTTTTAATCTGTTGTAATATTCATCATAAATTTGCACATTTATGATTTATTTTTGTGATAAGCACCTGTGAAAATTAATCTAGAAAGATCCTGCCTTTGTCAGGGTTAGTAGCCAGAATGGTCACTTATAAAGTGTAATCAATAATTATTTCTCTTTGTTTGTTTAATTGGTTATGATTATTGGATTTTAGCTGTCTAGTTTAGCTGAGTGGATTGCCAGACTTTCCTCTAAACTCACTGATTATCAAGATTTTAACAAGTCCTGCAAAGTTTTCTCAGGTCCTGAAATTGTAGCTGAGCTAACAGAGTTAGGTGCTGGACCTGCAGTGTTCCATGAAGTAAAAGTAAGTATTAACTCCATATAAAGTGCTAGTTACTATCAACCTTCCAGGATTGGAAAACATCTGTTGATTCAGGGTTTCCCCCCCCCCTTTCTGTGGAGCTCAGAAACTGAAAGTTGGATTTTAGAAACTTTTATTTAAAAGAAGATAATCATCTTATCATTGTAAATTGCTTATTTTGTGAGAATCTACCCTTAAGATCTCACTTAAATGCAAAGAAAACAAATTCATCATAGGTAGAGAAAAAGTACTTCAGTGAACAACCACATTTCACAGTTAACACTAATTAGTGGTCTATAAGTTGCTATGTGTTATTTCTTGTTGTTTGTTACATGTAAATAATCTGACTCATCTGATTTAAGCATTTCATTTTAGCTGCTAAATTACTGCCATATTTGGGGGCGTAATCTTCAAGATTCGAATTTGGACCTTAGAGACAGGAGCAAGGAGTACTATACATTGGGCTGGTCTGTTACTCATTAATGGCACCTTCAGATGTTGTATTTTAGTTGTAGTATTTAGGTAATACTATTTCAAGGTTTTGGTTTTATTTGTTGTATTTATGTTTCTTAGTAGTGGTATCTTGGTTATTTTGTTTCACGGTTTTGTTGGTTGTATTAGAATGTTTTGACTGTGGTATCCAGCTTATGCTATTTCGAGGTTTTGCATGCTTAAAGAACTAGCTATATAGATGTGGAAGGCATCTGTTTCTGGTATCCAGCTTATGCTATTTCAAGGTTTTGTATGCTTAAAGAACTAGCTTTATGGATGTGGAAGGCATTTATTTCTGTTGTTCAAGTTATCTCTTGGCACAGTTCTAGTATTTGTTCACTGTATTTGATGGTTGTATTTTTGTGACATTGATGCTTTTGGATTCTCAGTTTAACTGATTTCCTTGTTTACCCAACATATTCCTTGCCACAAATAATATACATGGAATCTTATGGATCACATATTCTATTCTAATGGATCTGGAGAGGGTTTTGTGTGTATCATTTGAGATCTTAGTGTTGTATCTTTTGAAAATTATGCTAATCACATGTTGTCTGCAGTTTCTCTGAATACAGTCTGAAAGACTTTTTGTAAGGATGGATGAATGTGTGATTATAGGGCATTTTATATTCCTGTTTGTCAAAGAACTACTACTTTCTGGAGATAATCATTGTGACTCTTTCCATGCTACAAACCTTATTCATCCTGCATGGAAAGCAGGAATTTATTCTTTATGATGTTAAAATGTTTTGATAAGTATAGTCTAGATGCTTGCCACATAATATTGTCTTTTGTATGTTCATATTACAAAATTATTGCTTCTTTTTTTTAACCATTACATCTAGGAAGTGAAGAAAATTTGTTAGCTGATTCCATTTCAGTGATGAACTGGATGATTGGCTGATTACTTAGATGGATTAGAAACTCATGTTTTTGTTAGGTAAAAGTGTGACCAAAATTCAAAAATGTTATCACCGTACATAAGTCAGGTTTTATGTGTGGATCTCATGTTCCAAGAACAGACTTCTAATTACTAGTGATAGAGTTAATTCCATTGCCACTCCTTGTTTCTACTGGTAGAATACAGATCTACAAAAGTTGGTGAGATCCATGAAGGTAGATTTTATGGATCAGTGTCATTTGTAAAGTTGTAATCAGTTTCTAGTTGACGTTGGATTAGTTGAAATGTGTCATTTCTTGCTACATAATTCAATATTGTGGTTACATCAAAGTTAATGATGTTATTCTTGAGGCCCTATTACCGTGTATGTACAACATTGCTAGATTCCAGTATGTAGGAAGTTAGAAGAACCTGGTTTTCACTATTGAAAGAACAACACAGCTATAGTTCCATACATAGAAATTTGGAAGAAACTGGTTATCTACTGGAAGCATAACATGGCTATAGTTCTATGTAGAAAGTTAGCAGAACCTGGTTATCACTTCTGAAAAACATAAATACAGTATCTCAAGTCACCATGAATGAGAAACAGTCTAGTTCAGGGGATACCACTCCCCACATGATGTACCTAAGATGCTTGGTTTGGATTCCACAGTAGTCTTTCTTGGGACTACATATCTGAAGATGTCAGTATTTACAGTCAGTTTATAAACCACTAATTAATGCTAACTATTAATGGTTGGAGACGGCTTGAATGGGTAATGAAAAAAAACATTAAAATAAGTTTAACATAACAGCAAATGTACATTTTGACAAGGGTTTGTCATCATCAGGTACAAGTAATTTACACTGTAAGTGTAAATTACTTGTATCTGATGACGACAAACCCTTGTCAAAACATTGTGTAATATGTTTTACATGTACAGAAGAAAATATAAGTATTTCACCAACGGTTTAATATAGGAAACATGAGAGCATACACAAGTTTTAACATAGGAAACAAGTATGTACTTAACATTTAACATAAGAAATGAGAGTGTTTTTAGATTTTGACATAGGAAACATGAGAGTGTACTTAAGTTTTGACATAGGAAGTGAAATTCAAATACATCAATTAGTGTCATATTTTTTGTTTTTATATTTTTCTTTGAACAAATAGTTTAGTGTTATCTGAAGAATAATAATTTCTGTGCCATCAAAATATTATCATAGTTCTTAGTTATAGTCAATGACTAGGTGAAAGGATATTTTGATTAATTTTAACATTTGGTAATGTCTGTGTGTGTATATGTAGGTATTTTTTCATTGCATATCTTTTCAGAGGCACATAATGACAGTCATAACAGAAGAAAAAGACCCAGAAAGTCCGTATCATCTGACATTGCATTCTGCTACAACCATGTTACTGAGAAGTCTGAGCATAACTTTGACATTTCTTTATAAAGAAAATCTTAAGTACATGCCTGATTATAAGTATGTATATTTTGAGATATTGTAAGATCACAGACACTGTAAAAGTTTAGTATTTTACTGTTTTTATACATTCTTGAAATACTTTGTGTGTACTTTAACTTGTTAATTATGCAAGTTTCTCCACTTCTGACCCTTGGTGACTCAGCAGCAACTTTGAGAACTTATAACATTAAAGCTGGGTAAAATTAGTCTATTGTACATCTTTGCTCTTAAACAAACAAGAATCAATAAAGGTAAATGTTTTTGAAGCTAGAATTATGATCATATACATTGTTACTACATGTATTAATACATTTTACCTTTGGAGCATTTGCAAAAAAATTAATTTTACATGGAGGATAGTAAAGGATGGGCTTGATCAATGAATCTTAAGTACATTTACTCAGAACTTCTTAGCTGTCGATTTTGTTTGTTCACATATATTACATTTGAAACACACTAGTTCTATTTTGATAAAACTTTCTTCCACACAGAGCTGTAATAGAGAAAGAAGCTTATAGAAAAATTCCATCAGAGGTGAGTTAGAAAACAGAGTAGTGTTTCACATCATGAATTGTTCTTTCTAGGTAATAAAGATTGTGTTGAAACTTTTTTATTTGGTTGCTAAAATACAGATTTATGTTTTCATATATAATAATAAAAGTCATAAGAGTAACAAAGTATGTAATTGTACATCTTTACTTTTGTTGGTTTTATCTCCAATCTATCAAAATATTTTCACTTAGAAGACATTCCAAACCCAATTTCTTCAGTTATTTAAATAGTGTTAAAAGTGTAATTACTTTCCAAGATTGATGATATAAACTATACTTCTGATCTAGAACTGTTTTTTAGCTAATTTTTCTTGTTATGTAATGTACAACAAAATAATAGTTCTAGTATGTTTGTTGTGTACTATGTTTTCATAGTTAGTTTGTGTCAATTTTGTTTTTCTTTAGTATTTTAAATTAAAATATTTCAAAATAATAGCCCATTTAGTTTGATTATTAGTATGTTTTACACCTAGAAAAAAATACAAATTAGAGTTTCTAATCTGTTTGTTTACTTTTTCAAAAACATTTTCATTTAGTGTACATTTTTTAAAATTGTATGTAATGATGCAGTAGCTTAATAAACAGATCTATTGTAATGGTGTTTTATAATTTTAATGGAACAGAGTTGAAGGTAATCAACCATTAATATAGTTTATTATGTTACAGTTTGGGGTTTGGTTGAACACCCAAAGGTCAACTCAAAAGTCAAAGGACTACAGTTATTCACTTAATTTGTGGTGTTTAAATCCAGCTGTGGTAAGTTGCATAATCAAATATTGATCTTTTTGTCTTATACATCAGTTTCTTAAATGTGACTATTATATTGTAGTATACATTTGTATTCAAGTGCTTGTAATATTAAAACAAGATTTTCATACCATATCTTATCATTAGTGATAAGAGTTGATTGTTGTTTTATACACATTTTCTCGTTTCTTATGGTGTCAGAAATGTTTTTATGATGGTAGTGTAGTAATATATGTCATATTGAAAACAATGTAATTTATTTAAATAGATGTCTTAATTTACAAGAAAAACTAGTGCATCAAATTCTGTATTTTTTAATTTGAAAAGTTTTATGACTTACAAAACAATGCTCGTATTTGGGACTTTATATTCTAGTACGTATGTAAATCTACCTGTAAGTTTGAGAAGTGTGTTTGTTGAAATTGTGGTTATAAAAAACATGAAGTAGTGTAATTGAAACTCTTCTATATTCAATAAAATTTTATTAGTATGTATATTTTATACGTATTCTTAAATTTTTTCCATTATATATACAGTTTTGTATTAGAATTTACCAGTTTTGTAACTGAAATAATGTGCAGAAATTGAGCAGAAACAAGATTCAGCATGACTTAGACAGCTGTGTTCTACTTTAATTAAACATTGGTGAATCAGTCAGCATCTTTGTAACTGTTCAGTCCATTCATAGTTTCTCAAATTAAAGAACAGATATATAAGTATATTTACTCAAACATTTTCGTTTTATTACGTTACTACATAAATCGTATTCTGCGAATAGAAAGTACAAATGAAAAATAAAAAGGTACCTATAAGAAATTATTATTTTTTCTGAAATGATATTTTTAATGCACATCTATGAACTTATACAGACAACTTAAAGTTAGGCTATGGAGGTATTCTAATCATAATATTGATTATAAAATTGTATTTAATTTTGTAATGAGGTAATGCACCAGATTGAGATACAATCAGAATGCTAAGCAATCATGTGAATAATGAAGTAATTAATACAAAGTCATCATTTCTGGAGCAATCGTATGAATAATCAGTGGCGGTAAAATATTTTTGTAATAAACAGTTCCATTTTAAAGTGTAATAATATATATATATATATATATTTAGTGGAATCAAATTTAGTTTTATTTAGGCAGTTGTTTCTTTATTGTGAGTTCTTTTGGCATTGCTGAAATGGTGTGCCAGTGTGGAAGCTAATAATTGTCTATTTACTAGTGTCAAAAATAAGAAAGTACTTGTGTGTGAAATTGTAGTAATTTTGTGTAGGTTTCATGGTATGTAGTGTACGTGGAATGTGATCGACAGACGACAGAGAATGTACACTTATGATTTGTACCTAGACAGTTTTGCTGTTTGTACGTACCAACTTGTGCAAATGTGTTGTTTGTTTGTGGCAACAGACAGAGTTAATTTATTTTTCTTTTCTCTTTTTTAATTTCAGGATGTAATTTCAGGTGTTATGTGGCTTGGTGCTAGAAATCGACCATTTCTTTATTGGAATCCTTCAGTTTCCCACAATTTATCCCCGATTACCCTGACATAGTGACTTTGCTTATTCTGGACTATTTATCCCTGATTACCCTGACGTAGTGACTTTGCTTATTCTGGACTATTTATCTCCGATTACCCTGACATAGTGACTTTGCTTATTCTGGACTATTTATCCCCGATTACCCTGACATAGTGACTTCGCTTATTCTGGACTATCTTTACAGGTGATGAATCTGCTGCAAGGCCCATCTCATCAGATTCATCACATTTCTATGTCATTAGCTCCCCTTTTGAAGTGCTTGCTGGTACCTGCAAGCTGATATGTGGAGTTCTCCCAATAATTTTCTCACTCATTATTTACACGATCTGGCAGTTTCTTCTTCTAAGGGTTTTTGCCTACACCCTGTGACCATTTTGACCACATCTGCTAGATTATATGGAGGGGTGAGTTTTTGTTGTTTTTTTTCCTCCTTTTGTCTCTTCTCTTTCCTTCCCAGAATCTCATCTATTTTTTTTTTCACTGGATCCCACTCTGTGGCAAGTGTTGCCCAGGCATATATTATTTTATTATTCCAATTCTGCACTAGCAACCACTATTTCACAATAATTATTACCGGTAGCAACAGGCTCTGTAGAAATGAGGTGTTCCATATGGCCACCTAGGAGCGGGTGGTATTACTATTCTATGCTGGACTGCCACTCATGGACTATTATCAGTAAAGCTAAAAGGGATCCTGCCCATTCCTACTGATCATTGGATTGAATAAGTCGGGGTCGGTTTGCTTTTAAAAATTTAGGGAACTTGGTTCACCTATTGCACTGTTTCCAGAGCACTGTTCCTCATAACTCCTCAATGTGCATTATCTTCCAGATTCTAATAGTGGAGCTAGGGAGTTCTTACCACACTCAGTTTCCAGTCATTTGGGTTGTGGTCAGAGGCTTTTCCTTCAAATGTTAGAGTGAATTCCTCCACTCTCAGAGAAGAGGGCGAGGTTGGGAGGCCCTACTACCCAGATTCCTGGATATTAATTTCCCAGTTGTAGGTAGGAACAGCACCAGCCTATGCAGGAGCCTATTTGTGATACCGAATCGGATTTGATTTTCAGCTATCCGGTTGAGGTATACATGGCCCTTGTTTTTGATCAATATCAGTTCAGGACATTGTTCATGGAAGGGGGTCCACAATCTCCTTATAATTCCGAATGCGGAGTGGTCCCATCCTGGGTCCTTGGTTGAACACAGTAGTTCCATGTCCTCCCCATAATTCCAGGGGCAAGTGTAATACTCCTTGTCCACTGAGTTGGGGAGTGAGGATGTATGTGCATAATTCCAGACCAGATGAGTTCTGTTCCTTTGGTTGAGTAAGGTATACACGATCCCGTCATTCCGAGCCTTTGGTGTTGCCTTTCAGGCTTCTTCAGGAGAAGAAGGTTTGTCAGAAGTTACATATTAGAGAAATGTACAAACATATAGTTGCTTCAGTTATTTACTTAGCAACTAGAGGTTTGGCTTTTAGAGGAGAAAACTCACTGTTAGGTTCAGCACAAAACAGAAACTCTTAAAGATGTTTAAAACTTATAGCAGAATTCAATCTTTTTTTGCAAAAAAAAGTCTCAGTAAATATGCAATTCCGAAAGTGGTAACCCAAATTACATATCAAATACGGTATACGAAGAGTTTATTTTTTAATGGGGAAAAAAAGTAATAAATACAATTAATTATTGATGAATTGAAAGTTGTGAAATATTTTTCAATTACTGTTGATTCTACTCCAGACTTGTCACATGTGGATCAACTTGAATTTCTCATTAGATACACCTCAACTGAAGGCAATCCCATTGAAACATTTATAAAATATATTCCTTAGATAGGGTGCAAGGCAGCAGCTATAGAATCTGCAATGATCTCAACTTTAAGTGAATAATAACATATATTTACAAGATTGCCATGGTCAGGCATATGATGATGCCTCCAATCTGTTTGGAAAATACAGAGGCCTACAAGCACGAATAAGGGTACAGAATGAAGTCCCTATGTACATTCCGTATTTGGGACACTCAATATAATTTTCTTTTTGCGTCAATGTACTTCTTGGCAATATTATTAAAGTACTTGGGTTCATTTGTCATTAAATCTTTGTTAAACACATGTTGGTCAGCAAGAGCTGATGCTGCAAAATTTTATGTTTTGGATATACTAAAATTCAAAAAACATGATCTGAGTTTTTGGAGGACAATGGTCAACGTATGATAGATAGACAATGATGCTAAGGCAACTAAAGAAAAAATTAATAACTTAGAAATTGCCTTAATGACTGTATTTTGGTATTAAATTTTAGAAAGATTTAATGCCACAAGAAAATATATCCAAAATTCTGTAGTTAGGGAACATAAAGCAAAGCATTGACTGAATATGTCAACTTATAAATAATTTTGATATTTATGAAGAAGCAGTCAAATGTAAAAGAGAAACCTATAGCAAAAAATGAAAAAGCAAAGAACTGTCCAATTTGACAATAGTGTCATAGTAGAAGGACAGCTTTCAGGCCATGATGAAATGAGAATAGAAACCTTCTATGTTATTATTGACACTTATGAGAGAGATAACTAAGGAAATGGAAGTATTTTTGCTTATAGAAAACAAATTTGGCTTTTTGATGAACTTGTTGAAAATGGAAAATGAAGAAATATTTCAAAATGCTATAAACTTAATTGAAGTGTGTACAAAGGAGATTCAGATAAATCTTTTGCAAATCAATGCATCCAGTTGAAAGCACATCTGAGCAGTAAAATTAAAAGTCATGTCAACATTGCAAAATATTTACGGTAAACTGGATTGAATAATACATTCCACAACTTTGACGTAGCCCTTATAATATGCCTATGTTTACCTGTAGCAAATAATTGTTTCAAAATATCTTTCTCAAAGCTTTTCAGAGTTAAAAATAACTTTGAATCGACTATGTCACAGGAAAGACTAAATTCTTTATGAGCATTATCAGTCGAGAGTGAGATAACAAGAAAATTAAATTATGACCACATTATAGATGCATTTGCAAAAGAAAAATCAAGAAAGAAGCCTATGGTGCAGTTAATTAATTTTAAGTTCCTATTTTTATTTCAAATAATTTGTTTGTTATGTTTTGGTCTGATTTATTTTTACAGTATTTTGTTTTGTTCAGTTCTGTATTATCATAGAATGTCATAGGTGAACAAAATCAATCTAACTTTCTGAAGTATGTATTTAATATTAATAGCCCATATGCTGTCTCTACGAAATTAAGACATAAGTTCACATAATGATCAAACATAGAAAATACCAAACAACAACAAAATGGAAAGCATTCAAAGATTTTTCCCATGTCTGGATTATGGAGATATTTAAAGTTGAAATACCTTTTTTGTAATTAATATATTTAATTCATAATTTTTCATAATTAGCATTCAAATTAATTCCCCAGTAATGTGCAATAATGGAAAATATGCAATATTATATAATTACTTTTTGAGAAAAAGTTGCATTAACGTTTGGAGTGTCGAGACTTTATCTTTTTGGTCAATATGCATCTGTTCCTATAGATGCAGATGTTTTGTAGGCATTATCTTCAGAATGTTCCAAATAGAACAGGGGTGATTTTATGGCTAAGGTCTTCTTGTAGTTGGTAGTACTTATCCATATGTTGGAAGTATGTTATTCTGACATAGAAACTTGTTACTGTGAAAATTGTCATTTGGATATGTTTTTTGAAAGTTCTGTAATTCTGAGGCTGTCATCAAAATATCTGTATTGTTTTAAAAGTTGGTACATTAGTGAATAGGCTGAGCACAACAGAACTGATCTTTATATCGTGTGATGCAATCATAGTGGCTTTAATGATCCCTGAAAAGTGGTCTGTCAGACTTCTTTAGCAAAACTCTGAGGCTTTTTCGTTCACTGAAAAACCGTTGGCATTTAATGGTTAAGATTTTTAAACTTAGAAAGTTGGCAGATATATATATAGGGATTACTTGATTTACACTTGTTAAGCTAGAAAGTTTTCAAAATAGTGTTATGCATTTTATTCTGATTATCATCATTTGTTTTAGGTTTTTTCAGATATTCAAGGCAATATCCATTCCTTAATTGTAACATCAGGAACACTCTCACCCATGAAATCGTTCCAGTCAGAGCTAGATGTCCCATTTCCAGTTCAGCTGGAAGCCAACCATATCATTAACAAGTCACAGGTAAAATTTAGTAATAATTTCCTTTCTGACAGATGTCCTATTGCATCAGGTCAGGAATTAAACTTTCTGGCTTATTTAGACACTTGGCAATAATGGTAGCTTTTGTTAAGTTGTCTAGATTTCATAATATTAACAAGTCAAAGATTAAAGCTCACTAAATAAAAAAAATAATTCACTGATGCATATAGTAATATTATTAGAACATTACCAAATATTTACTTTTATATAAAATAGTATTTATATTAAATATATGTTAATCTTAAGCCAACCTGTTTAAAACTTAGTTTAAAACATTTTTAATGAGTAAAAAAATTAAAACATGAAGCAGATCTAGATTTATAAATTTTGTATTTGAAATTAAATCTGTTACTCTGAATTGAGTGAGGTAAATCATCAAGGGTTTATTTCTTGGTTCTGACTTGTGTTTGAGGGCTTATATAAATATAAATTTTATGCCATACTAGGTAGCTAGGCTAATTTTAGCATCTTCAGGGTGCATATTTTTCTATAAAATTTAATAATCAACAACTGTACTTTCATCAGTCATGGCCAGATTCTGTATTCTTATGCTGCAAATATTTTATAAATTTTCTAATTGATTCTTACCTCTTTTAGGTGAGGTTATATAAGCAGAGGAATCATAACTACTTTTGGTTTGTAGTTGATCTGGCTCTCTCTTCTTCTTCTTTTTTCTTTTTTTTTTGTGTGTGTGTGTAATGAGACAAAAAATGTTTTTGAACTTTTTTGTTAAAGAACTACTAAGGTATTAAAATATTGTTTTGCTAACTATATTTTATTCCTTTTATTTATGATGTATACGGTGTTTCAATTCATTACACAATTTTTATAACTTTAGGCTAATTGTTTAAGTGTTTTAATACTTGATTGTTTTGTAACTTGTGCAAAGATAAGTTTTTCTGCCTTTGTGTATATTTCTGACATTTTAAGACAAAAGGATTTTATATTTGAGATTGGTACATGGATTTGGTTACTTACATGTGTAACCACCTAAGGTTATTGTCTGTGGAAACATAATATTCTTAACAGTATTCAAGTAATTACAAGTGAATTTTATCATATTTAAGGGTATTACACCTCTACTTCGTGCAAAATGTTAACAATAATTAGACATTGTTGGTACCAGTAGTACTGTTCTATGTACAAAATGTTAACATTAGTTAGCCATTGAAGGTAATGGTGGCACTGTTCTATGTATAAAATGTTAAAATTAATTAGCCATTGAAGGTAATGGTTCATTGTATAAATTGTTAACAGTAATTAGCCAGTGTTTTACCATTAATACTGTTCTTCTTTATTGTTATGGAGATGTTTTTGTTCACTGAAACTGAATTCCAAGTTGTAAATTAAATGTCATACAATTATAGTGAAATTACTGTGTCCAAAAGAATGATCTATTTTGTAAGTGTAGAATGTTTTTAGGATGGAGTTTATATTAGTGATTTTTTGACATTTATTTCTTGGTTAAATTATTTAAGAGACTATTTTTCAGTATCATATAAAACAGTACACTTTTACAAATTAACATGGTCAAGTTTAATGCTTCTTTAAATTTATTGTAAGGATTCCTGTTTTTTGTTAATAGATTTGGGTAGGAACAGTTGGTCATGGACCTAGTGGAGCTCTTTTGAATGGCTGCTATCGCCATGCAGAAACCTTTGCATTCCAGGATGAAATTGGACAACTGGTTCTACGTATTTGTAAAGTATGTTGTAGAAAATTATAATTTTTTGATAATTTCTATAATTCAGTGGAATTATTCATATATATATATATATATATATTAAACTTTTACAAGTTAGAAAGCATATTTCAGGTTAACAAATACACCTAATTTTTTGTGCGCAGTTGTACTTATGCATGAAATTACAAAAGTGCATTCTGCTTACCTTTGTATTTCTTTCTTACAGTTTAAACAAATAAATGTATAAATAAAAAAAACAACAACTAAAAATATGTTCAGGACCTTTCCAATATTGGTGCTATTTATAACAGTATTTAAGTGTTTTATATTTTAATGTTGAAGATATTTCTTTCATGGATGTTAAAATATTAAGGTATTGAACATATTCAGATATTCTATCATGTATTTAAGGTATTCAATAATAGTAACCTATTTTTATTTTGTTAAAATTTGTAAAAAAAAGAGGTACATTTTTATAAATTCTAGAAGGTCTTTTAGAATAATTTACTTCAGTATTTTCCTTTTTTTAATATACTTCAAAATTAACTACTTAATTTATTTCAAAAGTTTAATTACTTCCTGTAAATCCATTATTTATTAAACTTCTTTTATAGAATTTTGTAGAAATGGTATTTTTAGCTTATTGCTAATAAATTTGGATCAATAAAATTTTGGATTCTTATTGGCACTTCATGAAAACCATACTGTTTTATGGAAACTTTTAGGTTGTTCCTCATGGCATTCTGTGTTTTTTACCATCCTATGGCATGCTTCAAAAACTCACTAATAGATGGGAGGTAAGTAGTTTATGTGGTTAAGACAAATAATTTTACAGATTCTTTTGTATATCGTGTTTAAGTTCGTTTTTGAACGTTTACAAAAGGATTTTTTGAAATGTAACAAATTACAGCTATTAATTCTAAAAAAAACCTCAACCACTCATTTTAGATATTGTCCAAATCAGCCAGTTTAAATCATTACTGTGTATCTTTTGACTGTTAAGTGGTGTATGGTTAAATTGTGGGGTTAATTACCTGGCTTAAAGCACATTAAAATAAATGTTATTTTTGAATATAGCAATTAATTGTTTTATTTCAATGAGACCTGATGCATTGATTTGATGCACCTGTTGTATAGTTTGTTTCGTTGTCTTACAAAAAAACTACTAGATAAAATAGTTTGAAACTTCAAAAGTACCTTCCACAGATTATGCAGCTTTTGCAACAATTAAAATATTTTTCTGTGGCATTTGTTGGAATTCACACTTGAAATTTCAGATTTCATTGTAATGTTTTGTTTTTCAATAAGATTAAAAATAATACCTTTGTTGTATATCTTAATTCTTGATTTTTATGTATTCCTACATTTTTGTAAAACTCTTCTATACCAAAATTATAATCGAGCTGACTTGTTTTTAAGTTGTTAATCAGAGGGTTTCATGTATTATACATAAAAGTTTTAAACCTGTTTACATTCATTTATATGTTTTTTATACTTCTTTTCAGCAATTTTCCTTGCACATTTAAGCAGTTACTTAGGTCAATATAACCAATGGAAACAAGGCCTACCATAGTGGTCTTATCAGTGAAATGAAGTTTTAAATGGTCAACTGTAAAGTTATATAACTAAGCACACTTCATATTGTTCCACAAACTTTTTTTTTTCCTGCCATAATTCAAATGAAGTACAAAATGAAAAAAAAAAAGCTTTTTGCAAGCTTTAAAAAAATCAGCCTGTAACTTTAGTGGAAGTTGTTTACAAACCTTTTTTTGTTTTCAGCAACATATCATGAAGCTAAGTTTTTACCAATCTCTATGCAAATCCCTGCTGCTGAGCTGGAAGCTTTAATGGCTTTTACCATTCAACAGAATGGAAAAAGAACTCATTAAGTGTTTAAATCCATCTTTTGTGGCTTCTCAAAACTGAAACATGGACAATTACACCACACCATCACAACCAAGAAACAGTAATTGGCTAAAAATCGATAAAACTATGCTTGTATTCAAGTAACCAGGACAAATTAGTGCTATTCAGTTCAAAACTGTTATGATTATGGGTGCCATATTATTTTCAGGAAATTCACAAACACTAATGATTTTCAGTTTTTTATCTATAAAATTAAATAAATAAAACTTTATTGGATAAATTTCTACACTGAAGTATTTTGTGTGTATGTGTATGGAAAAACACCTACAAGTTTATTTTTTATAATTTTTTAATTAACTGGTATAATATTTGCCCTCAAGGTGAACTGCGACAATCTTTGCATGAAAATGTGCTGGTTGTTAAGTTTAACTTGTGTGTGCATACATCAATTGTCCAAAATGTTTTATAATATATTCAATTTGGAAGTATTTCCATCAACAGAAATGTAACTACACACAAGGTAAAAATTTTGAATGTTAGGAAAAATGGGATATTTGACTAGAATATAGAGCAATTGTATGTTTTTACTGTAGTGTTAAAAATAAAAACATTATTAGTATTTTTATGTCATTGGTCTTATCTGGAAACCATTTTGGTTCAAACATAAGAAGAAGAAAAACGTTTGGCCTAGCAATGTGAAACTTTATGAATTGATATATATCTATGGCACCAACATTGCTGTCAATTACCATAACAAGTGGAATAGGCCAGAAACTGTCCTAAAGTGATTAATTCGATATAGACTTACTGAAAGATTAAATTTCACTTGTAAATTTTTGTGCATCTCACATGAAATTTCTCAGGCTAACTGATCAAAGAAATAGTTATTTTAGCAATACATGATCTGAATTTTCAATCTGGCCTCATCTTATTATCAAACTTTTGTAGAAGAGCTAGTTTATCTGATTAAAATTTTGGTGAAATATATATTAAAGTGAAATGTGTATTTTTATTTAAAAGTCTCATTTTGGAATCAAATATTTTCTTTAAAGCATGGCTCACCCTATTAATTCTTTTTATAATACAAACTCCACAGTTTTTTTATAAAGCTATATTTTGTTACATGTATTTAAGTAAAGTATACATGAAATTCATAAGTTCTTAATATTAATCATTTTCACAGAATAAGAATAGTAACACAACTTGTATATATGTTTTAAGACAGTTCTAAAGAAATTTACAGTGTGATTTTAATGTATCTGACAGTCACTTGTAATCATAAGTATTTCCAAGTATTTGTATTATCATAATAACTCAGTTACCATCCAGGAAAATTAACAATTAAACAACTACACATTTTATATAAATTTTCAACCATGAATAAATGAAAGTAGCTATTATGTACTGCTCATGTTTTTATAATAGATCAATACTGAATAAATAAAGGATTGTTTGTATTAGGAAAAGAAGTTTTAAATCGTAAATTATAAGTTTTAAAATATCACAATTGTATATCTTGTCACACTTTACTTTGACAGACTACAGGGTTATGGGAACAACTGATGCAACACAAGGTCATTGTTTCTGAGCCCCGTGCATCAGAGAGGATTAACTTTGATTCTGTAATGTCTGAATTCTATGAAGCTGTTGAAGACAGTGAAAACAAGGGTAGGGAAGAACAGAATTACTGTTTCTTTTTTTTATGTAAAAGAAGATAACAGATAATGTAGGAAATTAAATAACTCAGCTCAAGAAACTATATTCTGGTGGTGTAAAACTTTTATCCTTACAGTTGATGTGGAATTCATAAGAAAAATATAACAGTATAATTTGTACTACTATTTCATGATAACTTATAAATTAATAAATAGTTTAACATTTTTAAAAGTGTTCCTGAAATTGCACAACCAGTACATCTTCTAAACATTATTTCACAGAGAAACTACTTTCTTCTTGTATCATATCCATAACTTTATAAGCTTTAGCACCATAGCTATAAATCTAAAAAGAATGAAAAACATTTGTCATGCTTTATAGTTGTATAGTTATCATTTACTTGCAAGGAGTTTTGTTGAAAGAATAGCAAGGGTTATTTCACATTAGAACAAGAAATATCACAACTATTAAATAAAAACCAAATAAATGTTAAAGTGTCAATACCCACAATCAGACAGCATAAATTTCTTCAGATATGCTGTTATGCATATTATTTAAAGTTTATATAACAAGCACAATGGTTTCACTTCAATGAGAAAACTAAGTCTTATTTTTCGCTCTTGTTGTTTAAGCTTATTCTTTTTGTTATCCCTTCGGGGTGGATTCTTGTATGTAGTGAAGGGACCTCCCAGGGAAGGTTCTGTATTTTCAGTTACTTTCTCTGGGATCTAAACATCCATCCACGTGTTTGCCGTGCATGGTGACCCATGAAGGGGAGGAGAGAATCCTGGTGATTGAGTGGTGCCTGGGACACTGCAACACTCCACTTTGGCCTTGAATTCCTGTAGACAGGTGCCCCCCCCCCCCTCAGGTTTAATCGGCTGGTCCCGTCGAGGTAGGGTCAACTGAGTACCAGTGTTGGGTGTTTTCAACGGGTGTTGTGGACATCATGTATGATGCGTGGTTGGTTTGGGTATAGTGCTCAACGAAACCCGTGGCTATTGCTGCAGTGTCCTTTATTTGACATTGTA